TTTACTATTTAAAAACAACTTGAACGATCCGTTCAATCATTTTTATCTAGATTTCTCGAAAAGTACGAAAAAAAAGAAAAGAAAGAAAGAAAGAAACTTGCAATTCGATTCTCCAAACTCCACATCCTTCGGTCCTCGAGGCCCTCAAAGACCGTTTAAAATTCCCTAGCCCGCAATCGAGGGAGGGGAGGGGAGGGGCAATAAAAATCAAGAAATCAGCTCGGTAAACAGGAAGCCCGGCGAATTCCTCTCAATTCCATTATGGAGCCTTCCAGCTCTTTGATGCAAGGCAAATATGCCGTGCAACTGCGTACTTCTTTCCCCCTTTTCTCTCTCCATCGCTTCCATCGCATACTTCGCTTCTCCTCTCTCTCCTCTTCTGCCCTACCCCTCTCTTCACTCCTTCCTTTCCGTCTCTCCGCCAAGAAACTCGCCTTTTAATGCGGAAGATCTTCGAAAGACTCGTTACCATGCGAGGTTCTCCGCGACAAAGAGAGATCTCTCTGTTTAACTCTCTGTGTCTCTCCTTACGAGAGACGCACGAACACATTGAATATGACGAGGAGCGAGGCGAGGCACTCTCTCTCTCTCTCTCTCTCTCTCTTCGTGTTCTCGAAAAGAATACGGATAAAGTAAGTGCACGGCCAAGAGAACTAGTTTCTTTTCTTCGTTTTTTTCTTTTTTTCTTTTTTTTTACGTTCCTTAGACCGATACGGCATAATAAACTTTGTCGCAGTGCTCACGTGCTCGCATTTCGCGAGAGGAACGTCTCCTTTAATCACTGCCATCTGCTTTTATATCTTTCTCGGCCGCTGTTTATGCGGCAATGATCCCTGCATGCTCGTGGTTTTCTTAGTGAATTCATTTCGAATTGTATGGGGTATGGGTTATTAGTAAATTTTTCGTGTGCACAGATATAAATATTCGTGGAGGAGAAATTTGATTCTGGTGATTTATAAGGTTAGAGAGTTATTTGGTAAGTTGTAGAGAGGAATCGAAGTGAGGTTATCGATCGATATATTAATTTGAATATGTTAACACTTTGTATATGTTGTACTATTGTATGTATTAAATGTAGATAGATAATTCTGTGATCGATCTAGTGAATTTGTTCTCTTTTTCTTCTGGAAAAGGATATCTTCAAAAGAAGTATCATTTTTATTGCGCGAAAAAGTGGTAAATTTACACTCGATCATCGTTCTATTTTTAAATAATATTAATAATAGTAATTGTTAAATGCCTGAAAATCGAGCACTAAAGTTTTTTAATTTTTCATATTTCGCAAGATCTAAATGGGATACATTTTGAAAAACTGACACAAAGAAAAGCTCACGCGGAAATCTGTGCACTTCGACGATTGAACGAAGTGCTTTTTACCGTGGCAAAGTTATATATTTCTCGTGGAAACGAAGAAAGACGACACGGAAAAGCGTGAATGGAAAACAGAAACGTGTAAAATTGACGGGGTCTTCGAAATAAACTGCGCCAAGCTTCGCATAAGTACACAGAGAGAAAGAGAATGGGGAAAACATTGAATGTGTACAGATTCGTTCGAGCATTTAAAATGCTGTCTACTTTTCCCCAATTTTTGTTCGATTCTATACAAAAGAAAAAGAAAAAAAATTTTTATCCACATACATCAAAAGAAATTATTATACGTTTCCACTCTAAAGTACTTTGCAAATTCATATACTAACTAATAAATAAATCATCACGTTTCTTTCTATTGAAATAACTCTTGTATAATAACATAACAGTTTAACATTCAAATTAGTTAGCAATTATCATAGAAAAACAATTATATAACAAATTATATATACACATAAATACACGTATTACGCAAATTCACGATGCCAGTCGCGTTAATTTATTCAACAAGCAAATAAGATTAGATATTAGATATTAGATTACGATTCACGAAACGAAACGAGAAGAAAAAAAAAAGAAAAGAAAAGAAAAGAAATCAGAAACCCGTCCGAATTCATAACACAATCCTCCCCTTTCGTAATAATATCCCAAATCTATTGCGAACACGCGGCCCGCCGATGGAAAAATGATTGTTTTACGAGAGACAGGGACAAGTGTCGTGCACACCGGCAGCTTCCATAAAATCGGCCCCCTCCCCCTCGGGCTATGAGAAAAACATTTTCTCACGGGCGTCCGCGGTGAAACGACGCTGCCAACGATCGTTCCCGGGTCGCGAGAACACCGGGAATATGCGTCTTTAATGACCCAATACTCGGCGGATATACATTGGCCGGGCAATAAATCCGGCTGGGAAATGGATCAGGTAGACTGGCTCACGTGGACCGCTTCGGATGATCTATGCAACGAACGGGGCACGGTGATTTAAGAAGGATGATTACGGAAGACGCGGCTCGCTTTGGTGGTACGTGAGACGCTATTGAATGCGAGTCGGTGAAATGGTTGGTCGATTTTCCCGAGATACGTTTAGCTAAACGAGGATATAAATTTACTGACTTTACGAATCTCGGCACGAGATTTCAAGATGATTTTTTTTAACGAGCACCGGTTGCCTTTAATAGGAAGAATGGTAATTTCCAAGAAATTATATCGAAAGAATCTTCAGAAATCGTTGATCGATTTCCTTTCTTGTCTTCTCAAATTTTACGATATTATTCGCTCGTTGTTTGAAAAATCAATCGCGAAATCAAAAGTGAATCAATTACGACGAAACGACGACAATGTCGATTTCCAACGATCAATTGTAAAGCTGGAATCGATCAGAACGAAGAGCAATCTCTCACTTTCTCTCTCTCTTTCCCTCCTTCCGCTCCATCGATCCAGAATTCAGAGAGTTCATCGGGCACGAGGGGGTAGTTTCGTTTTTCATTTTCCATCCGACACGCGAGCAGACTGCTCGATAGAGCTTCATTAAAACGTGGCCGGTTGACCGTGCAATTTGTCAACCGTGGATATCCGATAATTGTTCCGCCCGCGTATCTCTCGCGGAACGACGTCCGGCGTCCTTTCCGCCCGGCCGACAGACCTTTCCTCGCGACGTCGATACGCCACGCCACGTTTCCGATGGTTTGGAAAAAAGAGGAGGAGACAGCGGGGAGGAGGGAATAGGAGAACGTGGACAAAAAGAAAAAATAAATAAATCAATTATTTGTTGCCAGAAACAATCGGCCAATAGGGAGGGGAGGGGAGAGGGGGATGGCCGGGCCTGTCGACGACCGATACCGAGCGTCGCGACGCTTCCGGAACGTAAACTGTTTTTAAATCCGACGACAGAGGCAGCCGCGTTTTAAATCGTTGCCCTGGATTTATGGCGTTTCCGATACAAAAACACGCGTTACTGGTGAAATTGCTGGTGTATAATACTGGTGGAAATAAAGAGGATAGAATCGATTCTGTGTATGGATAGTTTTTTTTTTTTTTTTTTATTAAATTTGCTGGTTTTCTCTTTAAATCGATGTATTTGTTTTAACAAGAGGAATGTGATTTTGATATTGTTCGCGTTGAAATAGTGAATAAAATTAAATGAAAGAATGGTTTATTTTATGGTTAGCGGCAGATGAAGAGTATAGCGTAAAGCATACATTCCGTGAATCCGGTATGGTCTAGTGGCTAGGATACCTGGCTTTCACCCAGGAGGCTCGGGTTCGATTCCCGGTACCGGAATTTCCTTTTTTTTTTCTTTCGTGATTTTTTTACATTGTAAATTTACATTCGATTTTATTTATTATTTTACGAGTATTGTTTGATTAAATTGAATTTGTTTAAATATAAAAATGATATTAAATATAATCGTGCGTTCAATTTCTTTTTACTTTAATATCAAACACTTTCTCCTTTTCAATATAATATTTAAAAATTCATGAATCAATATCGTTATATTTATTTTTTAATTAAAAATAATTATTTTCGGACAAAAGAATTGAATGTAATACGGTATAGGATTTACGGTATTAAACGAAACTTCGCGGAAACTTGGTATCATTGAAACTATATATACCTAAAACACACGAAGTAAATAAACGAAACGTTAGTCCAGTTAAACGAAAAAACTTTTTCCTATTACGAAAACGATGTCTCCCTTTTTCAGGATCGCTCGAAAATACTTCTATTTCAGTTCACCCCGAAACAAGCAACGTCGAACGAAGAAAAGTTACTCAATTAGACACACGAACGTCGTTCCGGAAGTTTCTTTGTACTTAACTAAAACTCAAATTCCTTTCCCAGGTTCGCACCTCCTCGCCAACGAGCACGTATTCACCGCAAAGTTTCCGTGCAACGTTACTATAGGAAGAACTTTTCGAATTTGTATTTCGCGCACGTAACGATAGAAAAACAAGAAAAAAAAGAGGGGAGGTAACTACGTTGAAAAGAGTAATTATAACGATTAATGATTCTTTTATGTTAAATGGAAAGAAAAAAAAAAAAGAAATCTGGCCCATGGGGGGATCGAACCCGCGACCTTCGCGTTATTAGCACGACGCTCTAACCAACTGAGCTAATGGGC